TGCACCAACTCAGAAGGGCCCCTGCATTGCATTGCTGCAAAGATCCATGTAAATATTATATGCATGGACATTGCACTAGTCTACTTAAGCCTCCAAATTTCCACCAACCCGGAAACATTGCCAAGGGCTGTTTGCAAGTTTGGCTTCTTCTCTGCCAAAGTGGCATCTAAATAATTGCAGGGCAATGCCCAGAAATCCCTTTGGAAGAACCTCCGATGGCTCCGATGTTTATTTGGAGTGCTTGAAGCCTTTTTTCTGGCTCTTTGTCCAGTGCAATCCTTTTAGTATCTTTGTGTTTTTGCTCATGGACAAATATAGCAACGAGAATTCCCTTCTGGGCGCTCAGGAAGCCGGCTGCGAAAAGGAAGCGCATAGCAATTGTGGCTTTGGGAACCTTTCCCAGGCGCCTTTTATGACGTGGCAACAAGAGAGTCCTGAATTTTCAGAAAACAGGGATTCCAAATTGGCAGAAAACTGCGTTCGGAACAGGAGCCTCTTATGGGTCATATTGGGCAATAATTCTTGGAAAATTTCTTCCCACTTGAGAAAGAGAAGCAAGTTTCTAGTCCTCATGACTTCTCAGAGTCTTGACTTTTGCACCAACCTTATGTTGAATATCTCTGCACATTATTTCCCCTTTGGTTTCAATTGCATTTGTTTGGCTTGAAACAGCATTTGTTTACTAATTGTGTCCTGAATGCAACCTGCAAACTTCAAGGCAGAAAAACTCCCATTCCTCCCTTTTCGTTGCAGACCGAACCCACATTCTTTTCCCTGCAAACCTTGTGATTTAAATTGCATTTGTCTGCAAATTGCATCCTGGATGCACAATGCAAATTCTTTTAAGAAGTATCCACATTTTCTCTGGTTCCTTTTGGTTTAAATGCCATTTGTTTACTAATTGCATACCAAATGCAACATGCAGATTTCAAGGTGAAAAAACTCCCATTCTTCTGTTTTAATTACAGACAGAACACACATGCTTTTCTTGCAAATATTTTTGTTTTAATTGCATTTGTCTGTGAATTGCATTCTGGATGCACAATGCAAATTCTTTTAAGAATTATGCAGTCTTTTCTCTGCAGTCCTTTTGGTTTAAATGGCACTTGTTTACTAATTGCATACCAAATGCAACATGCAAATTTAAAGGTGGAAAAAACCCCATTCTTCTGTTTTTGTTGCAGTCAGAGCACACATTCTTTTCCTGCAAACATTTTTGTTTTAATTACATTTGTCTGTGAATTGCATCCTGGATGCACAATGCAAGTTCTTTTAAGAAGTATCCACATTCTTTTCTCTGCGTTCCTTTTGGTTCAAATGCCATTTGTTTACTAATTGCATGCCAAATGCAACATGCAAATTTCAAGATGAAAAAACTCCCATACTTCTGTTTTAATTGCAGACAGGACACACATGCTTTCCCTGCAAACCTTTTTGTTTTAATTGCATTTGTCTGTGAACTGCACCCTGGATGCACAATGCAAATTCTTTTAAGGATTATGCACAGTCTTTTCTCTCCACTCCTTTTGGTTTAAAGGGCAATTGTTTACTAATTGCATGCCAAATGCAACATCCAAATTTCAAGATGGAAAAACTCTCATTCCGTTCCCTGCAATCTTTTGATTTAAAATTGCATTTGTCTGTGAATTGCATCCTGAATCCACAATGCAAATTCTTTTAAGGATTATGCAATCTTTTCTCTGCACTCCCTTTGGTTTAAATGCCATTTGTTTACTAATTGCATACCAAATGCAACATGCAAATTTCAAGGTGGAAAAACTCCCATTCTTCTATTTTCATTGCAGACAGAACACACATGCTTTTCCTGCAAATACTTTTGTTTTAATTGCATTTGCCTGTGAATTGCATCCTGGATGCAAAATGCAAATTCTTTTAAGAAGTATGCACATTTTTTCTCTGTGTTCCTTTTGATTTAAATGCCATTTTTTACTAATTGCATACCAAATGCAACATGCAAATTTCAAGACGGAAAAACTCCAATTCTTCGCCTTTTTGTTGCAATCTTTTTGGTTGAAATTGCATTTGTCTGCTAATTGCATCCTAAACGCAACATGTAAATTCTTTTATGAAGTATACACCATCTTTTTCTCTACACTCCTTTGGCTTTATGTTGCATTTGTTGTTGAATTTCATCCTAAATGCAAATTCTGTGAAGAAGTGTACACTTTGTTGTCTCTGCACTCCTTTTTTGGTTTTACATTGCATTTGTCTGCTAATTGCATCCTGGGTGCAATATGCAAATTCTTTTATGAAATATATACAATATTTTCTCTGGATTCCTTTGGCTTTATGTTGCATTTGTCTCTCAATTGCATTCTAAATACAAACTGCCAATTCTGTAAAGAAGTATACACATTGTTGTCTCTGCACTCCTTTTTTTGGGTTTTGCATTGCATTTGTCTGCTAATTGCATCCTGGGTGCAACATGCAAATTCTGTAAAGAAGTATACACATTGTTGTCTCTGCACTTCTTTTGTTTGGTTTTGCATTGCATTGGTCTGCTAATTGCATACTGGATGCAACATGCAAATCGTTTGAAGAAGTACACAGTCTTTCCTCTGTACTCTTATGGTCTGCTAATTGCATCCAAAATGCCACATGCAAATTTCCCGGGGTAAATCTCCTTTCTCGTTGCAGACCGGACCCGGCCGGAACTGATCCCCGATGACCAGCAGCGGAAATACTTGCAGGAAATCCAGAATTTCCAAGATCCGGAGATTGCGCGGCAACTGGAAGATTTCAGGTCTGGACGCAATTGTTTTTCCCCCCCAAGTTGTGTTACATGGTGCGATGCCTTTGGGATGATGTTGAGGTGGCCAGTCCACATTCCTTGCCCTTTGCCCCCTTTGCTGCAGGGAGAAGCGCAAGATGGGCATGACGCCGGGGGAGTCGGAGCTGTTTGAGCTGGAGAGCTACCGCACCAAGGACCGGGGCATCCGGGAGGCCAAGCAGAAGCAGCTGGCCGAGTTCCTGCTGGCCCGGCTGGAGGAGATGCAGTGAGTGGGGCCCCTAGGGGCCATCCAGACCAGCCCCTCCCCGCAAAAACCTACCATCTACCATTTTAAATGCAGAATGGAACCCTTAAGGTCATCTAGTCCAACCCATTTTTGCCAGGGAAACACCATCCAAGCCCTGTGTTTGAAGGCCTCCAAAGAAACAAAGCCCACTATCTATTTTTTTAAATATGCATGCATTAAATGTAGACGGGAACCCCAGAGGTCATCCAGTCCAGCCCCTTTTTTCCAGGGAGACACCATCGAAGCTGTCTGTTTAAAGACCTCCAAAGAATAAACAGGCTACTCTCATTTTAGATATTCATACATTACATGAATAGTTTTGATGGTGTGGGGAGTGAATTAGAACCAGACATCCTGAGGAGGGAGGTGGAATGGGCATTAAAAATAAAGATGGCAGGGACCTAACAGAAGCTGAAGAGATCAAGAGAAGGTGGCGAGACTATACAGAATATCAGTATATAGGAAGGAAAATAATATCAAGGATAGCTTTGATGGCGTGGTGAGTGAATTAGAACTAGACATCCTGAGGAGTGAGGTTGAATGGGCCTTAAGAAGCATTGCTAGCAACAAGGCAGCAGGAGATGACAGGATCCCAGCTGAACTGTTGGCA